GCGTCCACGATAATGAGCAACATGTTTCCAGCAACTGGCCCGGCGTAATCATGTGGATTCTCTGCCATGGAGCTGTAGGGTACTCCCAGTGGTGCTCTCGGAATTGGACGGGGGCGTGTGCATGCTTTGCACATTCAGTGCAAGATTTGGCGACATGCTCAATTGCAGCATCGATGCCAGGCCAGAAAACAAACGAGCGGGCCAGCCCTTTCATTTTGACGATTCCGATGTGAGCGGCGTGCAAATCCTGAAGAATGGCGTTTCTGAGTGAAGGTGGAATCACAACTCTGTGTTCAAACAACAAACAATTAGCGGCCGCGGTGTAGTTGGCTTCAGGTGACTTGAAGCCGTGACGAAGGAGGTCTTGACCTGATTCCAAAAGCTTCAGAATGTTGCCAAGGTGCTCATCTTTCCTCGTTGCCCTGGCGATGGCTTCTGCTCGAATTGGTAATTGTTTGATTTGGTGGAGTACAAAGTGGTCAAACTCGTCCGTTCCTGCTCCTTCCCCCTCTACCAATGACTGAAGACAAACTTGGTTGACCGTGGTTGGTAACGGCGCCCTGGAACAGTAGTCTGCGTTGGCGTTTGCCTTCGAGTCTTTGAAAACCACCTCGAAGTCAAAATGAGCCAAGTAATCCACGTAGTTTGCCATCCGACTAATGCACAGCACCGGCAGTGATTTTTCTGGATGCAGGATTTGTGTTAGCGGTTTGTGGTCCGTGATGAGAACGAAATGACGTGCGTAGAGATAGACGAAAAACTTGTTCACAGCCCACACAATCGCGAGCGCCTCCTTATCAATTTGAGGGTATCGTTGCTCTGTGGCGCTCATCGTTCGGCTTGCATAGGCGATTGGTCGTTCCTGATTGTTGCTCAGGCGGTGCGACAGCACAGCTCCCAACCCGGTTTTGCTGGCATCAGTCGCCAGCAATAGCGGTAGCGAGGGGTCGTATTGCATGAGAACCTGGGGTAATACGAAAGTTTCTTTGATGTCGACGTATGCTTTTTCGCCAGCTGGAGTCCATGTAAACGGTTCGCTACGAAGCATGTCATGCAAAGGCCGATCTCGCGTTGACAAATCTGGGATGAATGCGCTGTAATACGTAGCCTTTCCCAGAAAAAGTTGAAGTTCCTCCGGTGTTGAAGGCTTTGGTGCATCGCGGATAGCTTCGATGTGGCAGTCGGATTTGGGGATTCCCTGTGCATCAAGTTTGTGACCCAGGCAGTGGAGTGTAGTTTCTGCAAATTTACATTTGGCTCTGTTGAGTTTCAGCCCATGATGACGCATTCCTTTCCAGCACGGCACACAGGGCCTGGAGCAAGTTCTCGAACGAGTCTGCGAAGACGATGGTATCATCGAAAAAATTGACGACGCAGGGTAGATCACGCAGCACTTCTTCCATTCAACGTTGCCACACTGCAGGGATGTTTGCTGCTCCGTAGACCGCGCGTGTCGGTCGGATTAGGCCATGAGTAGGCGTGTTGAGAGTCATCGCGTGAGCACATTCGTCGTCGATTGTGAGATGCGTATAGGCATCCGTGATGTCAAGATGACAGAACCACTTTGCGCCTCGCATTTTGTTAAAGATGCACTCCATTCGTGGGATTGGATGTTCGTCTACGATCAGCTGAGGATTTAGTGTAGGTTTATAGTTTTCCGTGATACGTAATTTCCTGTTCTTTTTTGCCACCACATGTGTCATCGAAGCCCACTCCGAGTATTCGACCCGTTTGTACACGTCCGAATTCAGCTTGGCGTCAATTTCGCGTGCATATGCATCACGCAAAGCGTAGGGAACATCTCGAGCTCTGGAAAAGACGGGTTTGTATCCGGGTTTAAAGTGCAGTTTGACAGGAGGCCCTATGAGTTTTCCAGGTTTATCGTCGAACGAGCTTTCAAACTGTGTCAGGATGCTGTCCAATTGAGCCTGTTGCTGCAACGATGGCCTTGGAGAAACCGGATTGACAGCGTGGACTGATGCTGCATTTCCAAAAAAGGTTGAGAAATTAATCTTGTTTGCAAATGCGACGATCCACTCGCGGCCCAAAAGCGAGTCGACTATGCCATCCGCCAGATAAAGGTCGAGCTTCCAAACTGAGGATCCGATTTGAGCGTTGACAGATACGCGACCGAGGCAGGAAATTCGATGACCAGAAAAGCTCGCAAATTGTTGGTTGGTTTCCAGCAATTTGTATTTGATTTTGACACTGTCAAGCGTTTGTTTGCTCATGATTGCGCATGGCGCGCCGGTGTCAATTTCCATTTTGATGTTACGTCCGTTGATAAGGACATCAAGCACCACCTTCCCAGGAAATTTGACAGAGTTGACAACGTCCATTTTGTTGAGACGTCGCATCTGGTCGACTTCTTCGGCTGGAAAATCTTCTTCAGAGTCTGAGTTTTCTCTGACTTGTCTGATGTTCCCAGATCTGCAAACGGAAGCAAGGTGACCTTTCTTATTACAGGCGTGACAGGTGGCGTCACGGTACGGGCACTGAGAACGAGCATGTTGACCTCCGCAGCCCTGACAGGCCCACTGCTTATCCTGGCTTTGACGCGGTTGATAAGGCGATCCGGTTGGTTTGTGTACTCCTTGGGGTTGTGTATGGGGTCTGCCTTGATTTAGACGTTTCGTGTACTTCAGCTTTAGGGGTGCAAATCCCAACTTGTTTGTTGGTTCCACCTTGTTTTTCACCGTGTCCGATGTCAGACGAGTCGCTTCGAGAGAATTTGCGATTTCAAACGCTTCCGCAAAAGATGCTGGTTTTTTTGCGATGATCTCATCACATGTCACTTGCGATTCGAGTCCGAACAACAGTTGTTCGATGAGCATTCTGTCCAAAAAAGCGTCAAATTCACAATACACTGCACCTTGTTTAAGCCTGAGAGCAAAGTCTGCGACTGATTCGCCCGGATTTTGTGTGAGTTTACGAAATTTATAACTCTCTGCGAACTTGTTTTTTGCGTGATCAAAATGTTTTATGAGGGTTTGCTGGATTTCGGCGTACGTCAGGTCCTGAGGTAGGCGAGGGCTAATCAAAAACTTTAACGCATCATTCAGATCTCTGCCCATGTAAACACGGGCATAGTTGGCGTGCTGCTCGGCCGGTATTTCACTCAGTTCCAGAGCCCAGGAGAAACGTGTGAAGTAGTCCTGAACGGTGGTGCCCTCTGTCGGGCGGTATTCAGCCATGTTGAAACGGGGTGCACGAAGATGTCCATTGTTGGCTGCGTTGGCAAGTTCGGGACCTGCAGCGGCGGCCGCGCCTGGTAACGAAGCTCGAAGTGCCTGAGACAACATGGTGGCCATAGATTCCAAAAGTTCCGGTGAAACTTGTGGTGGATCGGACATT